TTCTGAAAGAAGGGGCGAGCCTTTGTGGAAATAGGTGGCATTCCCGTTACTTTTCTCATTATTTTGTGGATACACACAAAAACAATGCTTTGAGTAATAGGCTGCAAATTGTAATAGAAGGATTTTCTGTCCAACAGGCTTCCAAATCCTGCAGAACATCTAGGAGCTGCTCCTCAAGGTAATTCCATCACTTAAAAAAAAAAAAAAAAAGGAAAAAAGCAACAGAGACAGATGTCTTTTCACCTTCTATCCACCTGTTAAATAAATTTGTCATTTCTACAGCCAATTCAGGGAAGGAATTATCGGATCCTTTCCTTGGAGACCCAAGTGTAACCCTGCAGGTCTCTGGGGTCAAGCTCATGCCTCCTCAGGAAAGCTCCCTGCACAATTTGCTAGTCAGGGCAGTCATTATCAACCAGCCTGGCACAGGCCTCCAGGGCTTTCCCATTGCCCAGGCTCTGAACTGTGCTGCCCATTCCTCCTCTCACCAATTATAAGTTCTGTACAGTTTTTTAAAAGACTGCAAAAACATATCAACATCATTCCCTTCCTTGTAATGAGGAAGCAATTTTACCTTATTATAACTGACTAAATATGCATGGGCTGACCCAGTAGGACCCTCATTCACCCTTATCCTTTCCCTCTGGAAATCATATTCCATTTTCATCGTTTCCATTTCAAATTTCTCTTCCTCCCCATCCTTCCTCTGCGCTCTCTCTTGATCCCATTCTTGTTCCATCTTTGTCTTTCCCATGCTGAATTGTCACTCCTCACGCTCCTGCTCTCATTACAACTTCCTTTGTGTTTGATGCTCCCTCACAACCATTTGCAATCGTCTCCTTTTTACCTTGAGCCTTTTTAACACCTGGCTTAGCATTTATGCAGCGGATTTGCTGCTCAGGCTTCAATTAGTTGATAGGTGGCATTAATGCTGTTTCCTGCCTCCCCAAATGGAATTCCCCACTGAGTTACTCTGAGGACTCCCAGTGTGGACCTGGATCCTTCCCATGGGTTTGTGTATAGCTGTGGCTCTGTCTGGAGACCACAGGCCAGACTGGGAGGGAATTTATAGCTTGGTGAAAATCACTTTTCAGCCTCCTTAGCAGCAGCTGTTGAGATTGTTTAGCAGAGCGTGTGAAACCCGCTTTCCCAGTGACAAAATGCTGCACATTCTTCATGCCCAGGGCCTTGGCAGGGGAGTGAGGGAGGTGCTGCAGAGTAAGACAAGGAGGCTCTTAAGTGCCTCAGAAAATCTATGCCCTGAAGAGTGCCCTGGGCCTTAATGTCAAAGATAAGAGGGCACATCAAGGCTGTGAATCCTGGTGACCACTGGAGATAACCCCCAGCTGGTGTCAGGTTGGTCTTGGATCTTGCATTTACAAAAGTGAAAGAGCTTTGAGAGCTTTCTCTGGGATAGACTGCTAGTCCAGTCAGCTGAGGACCTGACCCAGGTGCCATCAAAGGGAAAGGAACAGAGAGACTCCCAAAGATGGCAAAGGCTCTTAGGCCACCAAACATTCCCAGCTGCCCAAATCCTGCACACAGGTGTGGTGAACACTCAGTGCCCACGGGGGACAAAGGGAAATAAAGACTGGACAAGTGTGAGATGTGAGCAGACAGGTCATAAAGCCTCGGACTGAGGCACTGCCCCCATCCTGTGACAGGCTGATGGCACGTAAACCAGTCCTGCCAGGCTGGGTTACTGCACTATGGACAGAAGGGGTTTTGTTTTGATTGACCAAACTGTCTTTTTCTATATTTTATGCCCCATGTGTGTGTCATTTGACATTTGAAAAATATTGCTCTCCTTTCAGCTTTTGAAAAGCATGACAAGCAGCCCCATTTTCACATGCAAGTCGGATCTCTCCTGATCTCTGGCAAGGTGAGTAGCCCAACAAACCTTGGCTGTAGGTGGGGGAGGCAGGAAAATGAGAGTGAAAGCATCCAGATATTTTTGTAATGGGACTTCAGCCTGAGGTGGAGTGTTCCCAGCCACACATTTCTCTGTGTGTGCATCTTGTTTGGAGGAGTTCAGGCTGAGAAAGGATCAGCCTGGATATTTCCCTTTATTGATCTCTGCTCATGTTCACACGTGCAGGGAAATTCTCTCTGTGCAAACAAGCTGAACTAATAGAGCCAGTGGAGTGAGCATCTCTTAACAGCTCCTTATTATCATCTGTCTCCTCTTCAGATGTTTTCTGCTGTGCCACACATTGAGCTCTGTCTGCTGGAGAAGTAAAAAAGGTCAAATGAAGGTGAGAACACTTCATTCATAATTTTTATGAGTTATTCAGACCCACTGTGTCATTACCCCTCGGAAACATATGTTTTCTGATGGCACTTTAGAAAATATTCAGCACATCTCGACAGTCTCTCCTAAGTGATACAGATCAGTTGTCTCACTTTGTCATGTGGCATCAGGTTGTGCAGTGCAGTGAATTTGCTGTGGTGTGATGTATTACAGCCATTTGAGAGCCCGTCCTGATAATTCCTGTGTCTCTAAAGGTAATGCTGCATGATGTGTCTTCCCGGGAGTCAGAAGTGTTTCAGTGTATCCCCACTGGAGTTACAATTTAAAGGTTTTCTCAGGAAATACTTGGTCACCCACCTCCTACTCACTGTGATATGAGCATGTGAAACATAACTTTTGATTAAATAGTTATCTCAGAAGGCGTAGGATCTGGCTTTTCAAGGTGAGTATTCTCAAAACCCCTTTTTGCCCAGGGAAGCTGCACCTCCCACATCCAGGTGTTTCAATTTGGCTTTTCTCTTAGGGAATCCCAGGGACTGTGCTGCCATCAAAGACAGACAGAGGATAAAATTTTGCCTGTTTGCTGTTGTCTTACAAAAAAAAATAATGCCCATAACTGGGTTTAAATTTATTCACTTCGCAGAGAAGATTTTCACAGTAGAATTTTGCAGCAGTTGGACAGGGACATTAACTAATATTCTGTTAATTTGTGATAGTTCTCTCTTTGGATCAGAGTTGAGCCACTGAAAGAGAAAGCTCTTTAAAATTATGTGTAACCCAGGACATTATGAAGGTTATCAACATCTCAGCTATCAGGAAAGTTAAACTGGACAGGGCACACAAAACTGCGTTCACAGCTCCATGATCACCCAGTTTGTTGGGACCAAATCAAACCTTCATAATCCCAGGTGCACAATGTAAGGCTCACATATTTAAATCTGGTTTCCTAAACCAAATGCACATATTGAATACGGCCCCAAAACCTCTTGAGTGGTGTCTGACAGGTCACAAGCAGCCCCTGAATCCTCCCCCACACTCAGGCCCTCACTGTAACACGGTTTAGTTGAAGGAACTGTTGGTTGTTTGTGCCCCCAGTTGGTGAACATTGGAAGAGTTCACTGGAGGTGAAGCTTTCCAGCCTTCAAAAATAATCCACCTTTATCCCAGCACTCAGAATGGTTTAGAAAAAAAAATGAAATTGTGAGAGTTTACTGCCTCATTTACAAACATCTGCTTGGCAAGGAGAGTTTTATTGTGGCTGTAAGAGCTGACAGAGGCTGAAAGGACAGGGCTGTGCAGCTCCCTCGTGCTGAGCTCCAGGGTGAGAACAGCAGTCACTGCTCCCGTCCCGGGCAGAACAGGTGGGAGAGCAGAGACACCACATTTATTTGGGATGGCCCAATGGCTTTCCTTGCTTTTCTTGCTAATTGCACACTCTGAAATGCTGCAGGGTTAGAAGGCTGCAGGCTCTTCCCTCAGTTGCCCCATAACACTGGCCTTAAACATAATTCTTTTTAGGTCTCTGTGCCTTGCAGTGCCAACTCTGTGGGGCCCCACACAGGCAGAGGGGCTTTGCTTTATGATGAACACATTTCTGAACCTCTGCAACCCCTTGGCTTCCCAGTCTCCTGCTGAATGTTACGAGGTTTGTGGAGGGCTGAGCCAACATATAAGGTGCCATTATGGATTCTGAGCCATCCATTCCAGCGCTTAACTGCATCTGCTTTCCTACCACCACCTCATCAGAGGCAATTTGGAAACTGTAACCACAAAACAAGTAGCAGGCCAAGTGTGTAACCAGCACATCCAAATGATCTGAACCCCCTGGTTTCTATAGGTTCTAATAGCCTAATAAATGGGTTTTTGGTACTGAGCTAAGTACAGTCATATATAATTGCCGTTATTCTCACATTAAGCTGCAGGGAAGTGGCAAACCCAATTAGATTAAATCCTACCACGTCTCCTTGGGATTTGTGGTAGACATTTAAGCAGAGAGACGTGTCACTTCCAGAGACCAATTTGCTTGTACCTGTCTGCTTAGATTTATTGTGATTTGTCCTTGGTTTTGTGTATGTTTGTTTGCAGAAGCCAGCTCCAGATGCAAAACACATCAGTGGAGCTTTGGAACATTATTTTTAATTAGCTGGGTTCAGTTTCCAGTAACATGCTTGAATTGCTTCTGGGCTACTAATGGAGTGTGGAAAATAAATATTGTTGCTCTCAGATATGTTTTTTCTGGTTACAGAAAACTTCCCATGCTTTGGCAGGGAGGCTTTATGTGCCATGAGCCTCAGAACACGGGGCAGCCAGTCCAGACAGGAAGTTACAACTGAGTTGTCCTCAGTTTTGTTCTCCTTTCTGAAACCCCAATAGAAATCCTAATTATACCAGAAATTATTACAGAAACTGCAGGGAAAAGTTGAATTTATTTTTGTTTCTTTCTGCAATTGAACTGAAATGGGCAAAGTTTACCTCACTCGACACCTGGAAGAAATAGGGCATAAATCAGATACTGAAATGTGGGTCCTAATGCCAAGGAGGAGGATTTACTTATCTCTACCAGGTGTAGTTTTGTGTTCTCCTGTACATCTGTATGAGGAAACAGCAAACCCTTTTATTCTCCTTTGTATTCTGTGCTTGTGGAAGTGACTGTACAAGGAGCAGCAGATGAAGGGCTGAGGATGGGATATGCAGACAATTGCTTGTTTTCTTTGCAGGAAAACATCACTCAAAAATCATTTCCAGGCTAAGACATATCACACAGGACACCTTTCTTCTTTCAAAGGGAGGAAACAACGCAGGTTGACACCAGAGACCAGAGTTCAAAGTTTCCACAAAGCAAGGGCTGCCTCCATCTGACAAATCACACAGTTAAATTCCAAGTGGGTGAGCCTGAAGCCCTGTAGCACTGAAAGCATTTGGATTAGGATAATTGTGGTTGCAAATTGGCTTCCTTGCAGGGAGTGTGAACCTCTTCAGCCAGGGAAGCAGCCATGGTGTGACTGGATGTCAGTCCATGAGGCATTTCCATTCAGGCTTTCACCATGGGAAGAGGTTTTACAGAACTCAGGTGGTCACTGGCTGGGGACCACAGCAGACTCCAGCGGACAGGTTGAACTTACCTGGAGTGATGGATAACCCCAGAAACCCGGGAGAGGTGGGAAAGGGCAGGCTCTGTGCAGGATATGGGGCTGGAGCAGCAGAAGGAGCTGCCTTGCGGTGTGAGCTCGGCGGCCGGGAGCAGGAATGGCAGTACGGATGCCATCTGCTGCTCGCAGGGTGAATAGCTGGGAATGAGGCTCCAGGAACATTCCTCTCGGAGTTTTTGCTGTGTGGTTTTGTGTGTGTGTATGGATACCACATTTTCTCCATGGATATCCCGTTGCAGTAATGCGTTTGGGGCAGACCAGCTCAGCAAAGAGTCTGAGGCTGCAAAATGGGTAAAGGCAGAAATGAGGTCACGGGGTGAGAGAGCAGCAAATGGAAATTCCACATCTCGTGATCCCGTTTGCTCATCCCAAATGTACTGAAAATTTCTAATGCATCCCTTAAATATTTTCCTGATTGGTGTAGTGTCTCCCCTGGGGGACTCCAAACCACCACAGTGGCTGAAGGAGCACAGTGAGGCACCTGCCAGTCACACTCACATCCATGTGTGCCATCTCAGGGCCATCAGATCCCAGGGCTGTGCCACTGCATTTCCAGTCCTGTGGCAGGAGAAACTTCTCCCTGAAATGTGGCCAAGGAGAAGTTAGTTTAGTCATGTCAGTGGTTATTTAGATACCAGTAACAGACTGTGGGAACACAATTACATCATTATTTATATCTGCCTGGTGAACTCCTGGGACCAGTGTGATGGTTTGGAAAAAAAGTCAGAAGGTGTTTGTTCAATGGCCTCTTCTATTGATTGTTATCAAACAACAACTCATGATTTTGCACAGTGAGAATTTTGTGACTGCAGTGATCTGAAGAATGTCTCTGCTCACAAACCAAGCTGCTTATTTAATTAGGTCCTTCTGGCTCTTTGGATTTAATAATTCTAATTAAATTGTTATGGTTATGACTTGCATTTGGATTATGCCCACAGTCTCAATTAGGACTGTGAGAGGACCTCATAAGCACAGGGAAGGACACATGGCATTTGGTTTTATCCAAACAGTGCTGAGCACAACCACCTTTGTGGCTGCTCAGTGAATGTGAAAAGCAATATGGTTGTCTCAAAGAAGAGCCAAGAGTTCAGTTTTAGACACTTGAGTTCAAGAATTCCTCTGGGATTGTGAGCATTATCTTTAACTATAGTATTGACTCTATTCTAGCTCTGTTTTGAGAACCCACCATGACTGAGAAACTGGGGTCTTTAAGCAAAGACTACCAGCTGCTCTGGCCAGGCAGATGTGGGCTTTTAAATCTGTTCATCATGCTAAAATAGTACCTGTTGTTTTTATGTCAGAGCCTTGCCTGCAGGAGGCTGATGGGGCAGCTTCTCCAGGGACTGAGAGGGGCAGATGGACCTTGTGGGAAAAGGGACTGAGTGTTCAAAAGGGAAAACCAGGGGACATGAAGGTGAGTGTTTGAATTGCTGGAGGACAGAGAAAGAAAAACTTCTCTGCACTTGCAGTGTTAGGCAGGTGGTCACACAACCAGGAACTGCAGTTGTAGGAACTTTGGCTGGAAAAGAACCACGTTTGGATAATGGCAGTTGGATCTCATGGAGCACTGAGGATACTTGGATTTTTATAGCCAGCAGTGAGTAAAATGCACTTGACACTTCCAGTTCCATCACTTCAAAGTGTGACAACTAGAAATCCTTTCTTTTTCTTGCTCTGAGAGAGCCATATGCTCCAAGATCCTGTTGTCCTTCTGGATGGCACCCAGAGGATGGGAATCAGTGCTAATGGTTGGAAGGAGGGCTGTGACTTGTCCATAAGAAAGCAGGAACTCTCCTGTCATTAGAAATGTTGGTAGAAATGTGATGTCAGTCTGGTGATGGTCCCACAGGGAATCCCAGCAGACCTTATCCTCAGGGATGCAGAGGCTGCTGAGCCCCTCAAATCCTTCCACAGAGGAGTGTTTTGCTGTGACAGTCACTTCCTCAGCCCCCAGAATCAGTTGGATCTCTGTTCCTGGCCAGTTACACATCCACTGAGTGACTGTGGCTCAGAAGCTCTGCAGGATTATAGAAAATGTCCCTTCTTTACCTTCTGGATCACCTCTGTTCATGAAACTGAGGTTCAGCAGAACTATTACTATTAATAAAAATTACAGCTGTTACTGATCTGGGCTTCTTTCCAATGTGAACAGTGTCTAGATGAAATTACAGCAATTTGAAAACTTAATTTGCATTCCTGCCTTTGCTAGATGGTGGGTTAACTTTTTTCCTAACATTTTTTGTCCCAGGTTGTTGTACATCTTTGCCAATTTGACACTGATGCCTGAAATCACCTCCCAGGTTGTACCTCCAGAGGTTTGTTGGGTTCCCAGCTCTGCATTGGCTCAGACACAGCAGCTTTCAGTGTTTTAGAAGCTTTTTACACATGTCAAAATAAGAAACCAAATCCTGGTTGGAGCACTGTGCACTAATCCATTACCTCGTGTGAGGCTGACAGCATGTTCAAAGGGAGTAATTTCCCCCTCCATATGAAAGATGGGATCTTCTCAAACTTTGTTTTATGCCTGTCACTAAGTTCAGCAATGCTTTTGTGAGAGGTGTGTGAACCACAAGTGGCAAAGCTGATAAAAGCCAGGCCAGCACTGAGTGGAAAAGTCAGGTGTAGGGGTTGAAATTTGAAGATGCATCTCCAAGTAGAGCCAGGCAAGGTTTGACCTTGGAATTTTTGCATATGGAACTTATCTTTTTGTGCTCTGACTCTGCAGAGGTAGGGCTGGGGATGCTGGAGAGAGGGGGAAGCTGATGGTCATGACAGATGACCCCCCCAGCTCTGACTGATGAGGTTCTTCTTTAAAGGGAGAACAGGTTTTTCCAAGTGCTTTCCTGAGATAAGCCTTTAATGGCAGTGCTGGGAACTGGCTGGTACAAGGACCACACAAACCTGCCTTGGGAAATGCTGTGGCTGGTTATGTACCTTTGCCAGAGCACTGCTTAAGATCTGGGAGTGTGGAGAGCAGATGTCAGGATACACAGTGGATAATTTAGGAATGCTCTGATGCCATTTGCGTGTTGATACCACTATGAAATTTTAACATCTGCAGAGAAAGAGTTGGTTATTTTACACAACTTAATTGTATTAATTTGTTGCAATCATCAGATATTAATCGATTTCCTACAAAGGGAATGAAGGAATATTCATTTTATGTTTTTTGTATAAATAGGGGAATTCTTGGTATATATTCTTGGTAATAAAAGTAGCTGCAAAACTGGTACCAACACATCCATCCCTATTTCACCAACACATTCATCCCTATTTCACCAACACAGCTATCCCCATGTCACCAACACATCCATCCCTATTTTATTTATCTACTGTGCCAAATTATCTACATTATTTTTTTATGAAGACCTGCAATCTTGTCAACTTAGTGTGGGCCAGGTCCCACTGCCAGCACACCTGTATTCTGTTTACTCTCTCTGGTATCCCATTTTTCCCCTCACTCTCTTGGCATGTTTTCATGAGCTCCTTTAATATGTACTTTGGCAAAGCTTCCTCATCCTCCCCTTACTTTTCTTGGGAAATTTACATAAATTATTTTTTCCATTTGTTTCCCTCCTCAGCTTTTTCTCTGTCTGTGACCCTGCTCTGGAAGGTGTTTTCCGAAGTCTGACATGATACATCTCATGGACACCCATGGAGGAGATTTTCTCTGATCGTTATTAGCTTTGGACTAAGATTTATTTCTTGTGAGGTCACGTTTCAGATCATTCACTCTCTTCCCTAAATTGTTGACTGCTTTTCATACTATGGCAGGCACAGGCCACTAGAGGACTCTGTTTGCCATCATAAAGCAGCGCTCTGGAATCAGGCTTTGCTGTTCTGTATTTTTAAGGTATGTATTTTTACAGAGTATACAAATATACTCGTTTACACAACTGTATTGATTTACAGGATGCCATTCAGCGATCAGAAGTGCAGTCCAAATGATGGTGAAGCCCCTGCAGAAAATGTGGTCTGTGCTCTGCTTCCTTTAGAACGAAAATACAATATCTGGGCAAATCTACCCATCTCTCTACGTGAGTATTTGCTGCAATATTGAGGTCCTGTCTGCAGTTCTGGCCTGCACTTCCTCGTTTGGTTCTGGGCTTTCAAAATACCCCAGTGACGTAAGGAAGGAGATTTCAGAAGCTCTCAAGGATTAATGATTTTTAAAACCTTTCCCCCAGCTTTTCCCACTGGACTCTCACAGGAAACTTCCCATCTTGAAAGGTGCGTTGGATTTGGATCCGTTCCAGAGAATTCCAAATCAGTTTTCAGAGTAAGGAGCTCCCTGCTGTAATTTTGAAGGAAAGGAGCCAGAATAAAGCAGATTATATCTCTGTTGTCTTTGGGCAGACAATAGAAATAATTGCGATTCAGAGCCATTATTTGGGGGTTTTCCCATCTGTGTTTCTCCCGGAACAGCAGAGGTTGTGCTGTCAGTCTCCGTGGCTGTTTGCCCAGCAGCTGCTGGCCCTGCCCACCCAGCAGTGAACATTGTCCAGCTCGCTGCAGCCAAGGGAAAGCTGCCAGGGGGGCTCTGCCCTCTGTTTGCTTTCAGTCACAACAGAGCCCAGCAGAGACACGAGGGCACTTGGGCATCCGGGCAGGATTTGCAGCTCATCAGCACAAAAGGCGGAAGGGAACTCGATGGAAAATAACCAAACTGCCCCCCGGGTTCCTCAGTCCTGCAGGGAGTGCTTAGAGTCTGCTCAAGTGAGCACAGAAAACCCTCAGAGAACCTCCTGCTAATGGCTGGGTTTGTTTTATAATCCAGTGACATGTTGGAATGTTCTACTCCCGTGAACTCACTCTTTTAAAAAGAGCAGATACTTGGCATTCTAAGAACATTTCAGCATAATCTACTTCAGGCAAGTCAAGGCAAAAAAAGAGCCCGGGATGGCAACAGCTCCTGCTTTGAGGAGGGGCAAATGAAGCGAGAAGAGAGGGCTCTTTAGTGGGTTTTTAGTGTCTGTGATACCTCCCTCGTTTCCTTCTTGTTTGTTTGGGCTTTGCTTAGTCCTTACCAACAGCCTACGGTTTTGGAAGGCAATTTAGAAATTATTTCAAGTAGGAATGGTTTAGTAGCTATTGATGCAGTGTTTTGATGCCTTTCATAAAATCAGTCAGTTCTGCAGTCTGTGAAAAAAAGAGGAAAACTTGAGAACATTTTTCTTAGATTTTTATGATCAGTCATTTTTATTAGCTTTTTCTGGACTTACTGGAATTCTGTGAGTAGCTGAGGGTTTTTACAGAAGAATGGCACAAGAAAATGAACAAACCCCCTTCAAGAATCAATTTTGAGTATTGAAAGCACTGAATTAGATGCTTTCTTTGGTTTCAAGAGACAGAGCACAGGTATTATAGCCCAGAGTGGGTCATTTTCTATCCGCATTTCCTGACCATAACTTGTGCTTATCCAATTTCTTCCTTTTGAGAATGTATTTGTGTCTTTTTATGGACACAACACATCTACTGCCTTTGAAGTCTGTAATGAAATAGGAAATAATCTTTTCTTTTGTTCCATTTCTTATCTCTGCTCTATTGAGCACAATGTAAAGAATGCACAAAAGAACCCAGCAGAAGTATTTAAATACCACTTGTGTCTTGAGTTGAGTTCTGGTCACCCTTACACTGGGATGCAGAGGGTGGGAGCATCTTTCAAGTAAGAAATAACAGTTCTTAATATTCCCAGAAGCTTCCAATGAAGAAAAATATTAATTGATGAGTTTCAGGGATTTCTTGCTGAACTTTGAATATGAAAATACCTTGATATGGGCAGTGCCACTTTATGTCAAGGCACCCAGCATCATTTTTGAATATCATCTAAAACCCTAAACATCCTCCTCAACAGGGCGTAGAACTTAAATTGGAACAGTGTCTGTTTTAATCACTCTAATTAAAAAAATCTCTTTTGTCCATTTGAACCCCAGGAGTGGAATTTGGCAGAACTGCCTGTAAAACATGGCATTTGTGGCTCACATTTGACACGCCTCTGATGTTGTTGGCAGGGCCAGGGCACACCAAGATCAGAATCAGATCAGAATCAGTCCTAAGGGATGTGCCCATAAGTGAGAAGTTTCCATCACTGTATATATTGTGTGAAGCAAAGGCCCTCAAATCAGGAAAATGTTCTGCTTGTCAGAATGTTTGGAAAGCAGCTGAGAGAGCAGGAGTGCTGTGCTGTGGCTGACTAACACTTGGAAACCAGTGTAGGCACCTTAGTGCAAGACAAAAGGTGCAGTGAGTGCTGTTCAATCTGATTGCTGACATGAGCATTCCATGGAATTCTCTGCGAGGGGGAATTCAGATCCCCTGGGTGCCAAAGCCCAGTGACTGCCCCTCACATCCCTCAGCCAGCTGGTGCCTCCCCAGAGGGGTTCAGCTCTGTGGTACTGACTTCAAAAGAACATATTAAAGTGAATTCCTGACCCACAGTCAATACTTGTGAATAGATCAATGTCATAAGGATTTATGGAGGTGGGAAAACTACCCAGTCATCCGTGGCTACCTGTCTTTGATATCAGAGTTGGCAGAAGAAATAACAATTCTGTTTTGCAACAAGTGTCATGATTTCCAGATTTATTTTTACGTCAGACTGAAATAAACCCAAGGCTGCTCTTTTTTAAAATACTGACATGAAACTCTCCGGGTTTCAGATCAAAAATATCAAGTTTGCTCCACCTAGAAGGGAGTTTGGCCTGCACATATCAAAAATGTTGATGTCTGTAGTCCCTGTAGAATCTCTCAGCTTTCATGAAACAGTTTCACTGATCAAGTGATTCCTGTCACCTCATTCAGACAGAGGCATTTTTATACACTGAACAAGGGTTTAATATTATGCTAAAGTGAGGGATGTGATTAATTATTGCCTAAACACTTGTATTTCCCAAGGGGCCACTTGACATCCCCTCACTCATCGCTCTGCCTTTGTCTCTGCCTGGTTTGTGCCTTCCTTGGGGAGTGGAACTTGTTTGGTTTGTGATTTCTCTTGGGCACTTTTACAGCACAGTCAAAGCACTGTGCAAACCTCACACACACGCTGCAAATGGGGCTGACAGCAAATTATTTGATTGCCTAACAATATATAATAAATATAAATAAATACAAGTGCCAGCACCAGAGCAGGAGGGCTCATTTTACTTTACAACCCTGAAAGTGGGAAATACAGGAATGCTGTGTGGGAATGATGCTCTGTGTGTTTGCAGCTCCCTCCCTGTGGCTGTTTGTGTGATTGGAAGTTACAGCAAACGCTGGCCCAGGTTTCAAGGGGAGGATTTGTGATCCATGAGCACCACCAGGGGCTCATTTGGCTTTGCCAAGCACAGGGACAGCCATGGCTGCTCATGGATCCATGGGCTGGTGCCATCCTGGGACTGCAAAACGCAATCCAGAGTCTCTCTGAGCTGCAGCTCTTACCCAGATGGAGCCACAGTGACTTTACTGGGGTTGTGTTTTTGCACAGGAGGGAAGTTGCCCAGCCCTTGCTGGTCCCTAATGAGACAGTGGGGTGTCCAGGGAATAATTTCTGAGACAATTCCATAAAAAGATGGGGGAATGAGCCACAGAGCTACTGTTGGATTGTCCTGAGGGAATCTCAGATGCACAACTCCCCTCCCATCTGCTACAGGCTGTGCCTGGAGCTCACTCTTTGCCTGCCCTAAGTGAAGTAGTTCTGAGGTGCCTGGGAGCAGCTGCCTGGTGCTTTCACTTGAAACTGGTTGCAGAGAGAATGTTTCCTGCATCATTACCTAGTCCTCAGCTTGTAGTATTGTGTTCACAGCCAGGAAAAATGACTTTAGGGGTGTGCTGTCAAAGTGAGTGTGAGGAGGAACTTCACCAAAACCAGAGTACATTTTAATAGCAATCACACAGCTAATCCAAGCTGACCTTCACAAATCAACACTTGATGTCTAAATGTTACATGTTTTCTTATTCATTATGTCAGATGTGTTGCTTTTCTCATCTTTAAACAGGGTTGGAAGTGCTTTACAAGACTGGGTGTTTTGTTCCTTGAGCACTGGAGTGGGTTCAGTGGTTCCCCAGCCTGGACACAGCACCGTGTGTCCTTGTGTGGGTCTGTGTGTGGCCATACTCTGCTTCTGGGGCTGCTGGAGGTGAAAAAAGGACTCTATGCCTGACTTCATCAGCTGGTAGAGACATTATTATTCATCTCCCAGCACCTTGTGTAGGGATGCAAAGAGCTTCTGGAGTTACGGACTTCCGTTCCCTGGTGGGAGCCATTTGTGCCTCTGTCACACTCATTTCTCTTCCAGTTGGACTTTCCCGAGCATTATTTCTCCCATATTTTCGTTTCCTTCCTAGGCCCAGTACAGCCCTCAGCCTTCTGATCCCCTGGTCTGCACAAGTTTGCTTGGTAGTATTCCCAGAACCAGAAGACAGTTGTTTTCTTATAAATTAGAGTATCTGTGGCCTTGCCAGCAGTAATGACTGAGACTGAGTTGCTCCCACCCCACTGAATCAGGCTGGCAGTAAGAGGATGGTATTTGTGTTACACTTCCAGTGGTTCAGGCTGAAGTGAAATAAAAAATCATGGGCCAGTTCAAAGCAATTAAAGTGTGAGGGCCTGGCTCAGCTTTCCAAACATACCTGCATGTTTATCTGCCCTGCAGCATAAATCAGCTCTGGGTCATGGAGCTGTACTGGATGAGGAATGGCTCTTAACAGAGACTCTTGCAGTCCCAGCGTGTTTATTTAATGTGGCAAAAGAAATCTATAACTCCTTGTATGTCTGTGTGTAAGAATCTCATCATTCAGACAGTTCTGCTGTCTTGGCTTAGCAGTTCATAACCGTTACTAAGATTTCTCTTCCCTGCACTGCAGCACCATAAAGAACACTCTGCCTGGAGAGGGCGAGTCAGCAGAATTGGGAACTTGCCCCTGTCCCCAGGATGTCTGTGCTTGGGTACAGTTCAACAGTTGTGCCTTTTCCCACAGGGGTAGTTATAGAATGAGCTCCTTCCACTTTCTGATCACCTGTGGGCACATGAGGTTTAATTCCTCCTGCCTTTTCATATCCAACCATCATTTAGTGGAACACCCTTTCCAGCAGCAGAGGAGGCAATGACGAGAGAGAAGGGGAGTTTCCACTGGAAGGAAAAAATCTGTAAGATCTATTCAAATCCACCAGCAGGTCAGTTTATACTCCCCAAGGAATTATCAAAGCCTGCAGGGGCATCCACAATCCCAGATTTCAGCCCACAGAGTTAAAGGCTGCTGCCTGCTTTCAACAAAGAAAATACTCTTAGATTTCAAGTCTATTTTAAAATTGCAAACCTTCAGTTTGGTGAGCTCACTTTTTTTTTTGCTTTCAGGAGATGAGAGCCTTGAGAGTGTGTTGGTTGTAGCTGAAAAAAAATACTCACCAGAGGAGGCTTAAAGCAGGAGTGGGTGCCCAGAGATGTCACTGTATGGGAAAGGTTTGTATGATGGTTCTGGATGGATTGCAGGACCTGGAAAAACGTGCAGTTAATGTGGGTGAGTATCTCCAGGTTCCTTCTGGAAATGTTACCCCATTAGTGATTTCCCACTTTCCCTGGAGCGTGGGACAATTTAACAGCAACTTTGCACATAATTTCTTTGAAAACTGTATGAAGAGGCTGGTTCATTTTAGCCAAGAGCCTCAGATGACATTTCAATGGATGTTGGAAATTTCTGAAAGTGTTTTAATAAATTCAAAAAGGGACATGATTCTGTCTCATATACAAACTCTTAATAAATTCCACTGTATTATTCCATATTTCTTCTCTTTGAAGTTAGATCTTTACCAGGCTCTTCAAGACTGATACAGACATGGAAATAAATATGGAAAAAAAAATAAATATTACTTTTTGTTTAATATTTTGGCCCAGTTCAGTATGACAGACAGTGTCAGTTTGTATGTAGCTACCCACTGTTCCACATAATTTTTGGTAGCTGAATCTAGTTTTCTTGGATTACAGAAGGGGGCAGTGACGGTTCATTTTTTGGAACTGGAATCCCCAGCTAAGAAAAGCTTTGGCTTTACTGAACACAGAAATAGAAGAGCCCAAGACTGCTCTTGCTATTTTGCTTCCTCCTGTTACGATCATTCTTCCTACTTGTTATTTTATTTTCTGCAAGGAAAAAGGTCCCATCTTGGAGGGAATGTGAAGGCAGTGGATTGCACAGAGTGTTCCTGTCACCTTAAAGTTCTGAGATATTTCTCTTATTACTAAAATACAATAAAATAGCCCCTGGAAACTGGGTCTTCATGTTTGCTTGGTGTCTTGCTGCATAGCCCAGCCTTCTTGGGCTGAATTCTACCCTGTCATGTTCAGTCTCTGCTGTTGGAGAAGCCTAAATACTTCTTTAAAAGCCTTATAATTAATTAACCAAATTGACTTTCATAGAGTGGAATCAAAATAATGCCTGTGATATGTTTATTTCTGACAAACTATTAAAACCTTCCATTCCAGGTTTGATGAGATCGTACACATACAGCCCTCAACACATTCCTGGGGTGAAAATGCTTATTGATAACAATTACTTTATTGTGCATAAAATCTATTTCCAAAAGAATTCTCCAGAAACAGAATAATTCTAGAACATTTCTCAAGTTACAAAAGGATATATAATCTTCCATTTTTTTACTAAAACACACTGGGAAGAAAAATAACCTTATCCTGAATTTATTTTGAACTTTAGTGCCCACATCACTAACATTTTAATCAGATCGCTTCTCCCAGACATCCCGCCACAGGATCAGGGCTTCTTCTGGAAGTACAGCTGCTCACAAATCTTATTTCTTGATGAAGCCCTGTAGGGTTTGGGGGTGTCCTCTTGGGGTTATCTGACTGTGCTCTACCTTGTGTTTGCTCCCAGCAGTGTCTCCAGGTGTTCCTGGGGCAGTGCTCCAGCTGGAACCATTTACCTCGTTCCACTAGAGCCTATTTAGCTGAGCCTCTCCCACCTGGGCCCTTCTGGAAAGATCCTGGAGGTGGGAAGATGTCGGATCATCCTCTGCCAAGGAGCAACCAGAGGGGTAAGTGGTCAATATGTGGCAGCAGTTTCAAAGTTTGCTATAAAAATATCAATAACTACTTAAATGTCCTATCATAAGCTTCTCTGAACTCCAGAAGTTTTTAAAGGGGGCATCAAAGCCCCTGAGATTAAACACAACAGGGGGTTTATGTGTTTAAACTTAACAGTGTTAAGTCTGTAGACCCAAGCTGGGAAATTATACCAAATATACAGTTGATAGCACTTCAGAAATGGAGCTGGAAGAATTTCAGGTGGTGTTTTTGAAAGATGGTGTTAATGAAGTTGCTATCTGCTTTTGGTAGATCAAACAGTCCCTTTATTTCCCTTATTCAGGGATCAGCAGGGTGACATTAAGTGTTTGTGGATGCTCTGCTTTGCCAAGGTCATTTTAATTAACCAAAATAACAGCAGGCGATAGAATATTGGATCTAAAACCCAGATAACAGAGGGGATAAATGAGGAATAATTCCAACTGCATGTGCCAGAGGTGTTGGTAATGGGTAAGTGGTATCACACTTCATTTTATACAGATGTATGTGCAAAGCCTTTAAAATAAACTCATTTATTTAGGCAATCAGTCTCTGCTGAACAGTCAGTAATGTGTCAATGGCAGCTTTTTAAATGGCTTTACAAATGTCTTTTGTTTTCTGGTTTTTAAGCTCCATTAAATTGGTCAAACTGATGCTCCCTGGATAGGTGAAAGAGGCAGTGCAGCAGCAGAGAAGAGATACTTGTGATTGAGAGCCAGAAAAGGCTGCTGGGGAAATGATTTTTTTACATATTAATTTTATTAAGACAGTTGAACTCTCTGTAACTCCAAGTAAAGAATTACTTCAGAATTATTTTTATTAGGAGGCAGATTAATAGGGATGGCATCCATAAAAGCTCTGCAATTCAAGCAAATCACTTCAGGGACAAACTGAATGCATCCCAGATACTCATAATTCCACTAAATGCCTGGTCTAGCACTAAATGTGTAAGGATGGCATTCCCCATATGGATTTGGCTGCTTTGGCAATGCACACTCTGCTTCTCTATCCCCACTTTTGATGCCAAATGCTTGGAAAATATTCCTTTAATTACCTAAAGTCAGCTTTATTTGAAAAACCCAAACTGTGGCCCTGCTTACACTCAGGTGGCCCTCGGAGCTTGGTGGGGAATGTGGATTTAACCCAGAACAGCTTCACCTGGTGTTCCTTAACTCAGATCCCTCAGTAAGCACTGTGCTTCTGCCCAGCAGAACAGCCCTGGCAGCTCTGCTGTGTTATAAGAGATTCATTTTTCCCTCTGCATTTTAAAGCAAAGGCAGAACTTACAGAAATTCCTGAGCTAAACAGAGTCCCCCTGGAGGAGGGGTGGCAGGAGCTGAGGGAAGGTGCTGTGGTGGGCAGCATTCCCATCTGACGTGGGCATTATTCATGATTGTAGCACAGCAAGTACTGGTTAGTCGAACAGAAGGAATTAGAATGAGTATTTTAACCATCCAGCAGAATATGTGCTTAAATACTACTAATTGTGTGTGCACATCTCAGTGTTTCCCGTAGCACAGTAGGCTTGTTGTGTAGCACTTGTGTGCCATGTGTTCCAATCCAGTACTCCCACTGTCAGACCACTCCTGTCTTACTGCAAGGGCTGGGCTCAAGTGCCAGTCTCCCCTGGTTAGATCTGCACAACCTCCTGCCTTATTTAGGGCTGAATATGGCACTGGGGGAGCCGTTGTGGCCTCCCTCTTCCCATGTTTTCTGTGCTCCCTGTAAGTGGAAGTGGTACATCTGTAGATAAGGGTCACATAACACTGGGATGAGTCAGGAGGCTTCTGTCGGTTATTTTGGTTTAGATGTGTCATTAATTAATGAATTGAGCTGCTCAAGAAAGTAACAGTAAATATTTTCATAATCTGTCAGTGTGACATGTTATTACCTAACCTGACAACATTAACATTTCCAACTTCTTTTTAAGCTGAAGTGTTTTGGTCTATAATCATTTAGCATTTATCTTTCTATAAGACTCGAAGTGCTGAGTGACCTGGAGGTCTCCATGAGCACATCCACACTGTTCCAGCAGTGCAGGGCTGAGGGACAGGGAG